ACATGAAGAGATAAGAGATAAGATAAAATATATAAGTGAAATAAGAAGAAAAAAAAATTATGAGGAATTTCAAATTGTTACTTTTTTGGGAGAATTTGAAATTTTACTATTTTAAAGAATTTCACAAATGCTTGGATTTCAAATTCTTTGTAAATTCTCTATCTAAACAAAACATTTCACCTTAAAAAATTTGAAATTCTTCAAATAAAAGGCTGAGTGGTTAAGAAACTTCTTGGCAAACATTCCCCTAGGAATGAAACCAACCCCATCAGTGTCAGTACATTGTGACAATCAGTCAGCAATAGCCATAGCTAAGAATAAATCGTACAATGGGAAGAATAGACATATACAATTGAGACATAATATAGTAAAGCAGCTGCTGAAGGATGGGACAATTTCCATCAATTATGTGAAGTCAGAAGGGAACTTGGCAGATCCTCTGACAAAACCCCTAGGGAGAAAAATGATTTATGAAACATCGAGAGGAATGGGACTAAAGCCAATTGAAAACAAACAAGTGATGGTAACCCAACCTTTGTGATTGGAGATCCCATGAATAGGGTTCATATGGGTAAGAACAAGTTACTTGTTAGTTCTGCTAGCACTAAAATTACATTCTTGTCCCTTCCTTAAATATGAGAAAGTGCTAGAGCTGCATTACTGAGAGGGTAAGTTTTATTGTCAAACTTTATGATGAGAAAGCTTGACACATTATAAAACTTTTAATGATTTTCATATCCCTTATGGGTGGTGTATGATTTGCAGCATGCACTTGATGAAATCACCTATATGAGTGTCAAGTGGGGCCGCTTGCATGAGATCTTGGCAAGATCTCTAAAGCACTCATGAATACCGGGCACGCGCATGGCCTAGTAGTGCAAAATAGCGATAACGGCAGTGAATTGTGGGGGTGTAATATGATTGATAAAACCACTAATATACATCAAGTGCATTGGTTCATATAGCTTGCTACACCAATCTCACTGTATGTTAAGTATTATCAATCTAGGACTGGTTCATATAGCTTGCTACACCAGGTCCACTGTATTACAACCAATATGAGAACTCAGTTTCTTTTTCTATCTCTCCTTTAATGTAGTTAAATTTAAAGTATTTCCTTTCGAAATATGTGGGGGATTGTTGCACTTATATGTGATATTTCAAAAGGAAATAGTCCCACATTGCTTGGTCCACCTATATGTAGAGCCTTTATATATTAAAGTGCTCCTTAAGCTTCCAAAGAGGCAAGCAATGGGTAGTGGGCTCGCGCACGTGAGAATGGGCCTTGTGAGCCTATTGTAGTTCAAATCTGTCGATTTGCCCCCCCTGCGCGTGCGATAATCGTATTCGGAAATATTTTTATTTTTGATTACATTAATTTTTCTTAAAATTAATTAAAGAAACCTTATCCGAATATGACCGTTTTTCCATTTCAAAATTCAAACTTCATTCCGTTTTGAAAAACCGATCAAATCTTATCACTAAAAATTCGGATCAGTTTTTTTAATTATACAGATTTATTATTTTAATTAATTCGGGTTAATTTCTTAAACGGTCAGATCCTTTTAGGGTTACTGAGACTCTATACATATAGGATGCAGCATCAGGGGATTTTACTACCGTTGTTGTTCAGTGTTTCAGGTTTCAGCTTCATTCAACTTGCGTCCGCCGTTTCAATTACTACATCCAAAGCGTTATCCTAATTCTTCTTTGTTTATATTAAAGGAGTTTTCTGCTTTAAAAATCCTAACATTAAAAATCCTAACATTATTCTTTCAAAATAACTTTTGGTGTGCATATAGATAGAGTCATCAGAGGAGGAAATTTGGATTAGTAATTCTTAACACATCAAGATGCATGATTTCATGCCACAAATCATACCATTAAAAAGCAAACAATATCAATATGAAATCCTTCACGTATAAGATTTTTAAAATGGGAAGTACTATTTTTTTCAAGCCGACAACAAAAAACGTAACACTTTCTAAACTGTAGAGATTAGTACAGAAAATTTTGCCTCTACTATCAGAGTTCTTTCTTATACACATCAAGAGATCCAAACCTAGTATCCAACTAAATGAAAATTTGAAATATTATGTTTTTCTGATTAAAATTTTGAAATAGTTCTCTTGGATCAAAAGCAAACAATCGGTGCTATTAAGCAAAATGAGGCATATTACATTTTGTCCCTTGTGTTGTGTACGATGGAGGGATGCAAATCCATACTAGTGAAATCACCAAACCACTTTTATGCCCTTTTTTTTTTAACAACTTTTGTGCATGTTTTACACTGTTTCTTTAGAATTTGTGCAGTTATGCTATGCAGAGAGGACAAACGGGATCAGAGAATCTACCTTTCTGAACAAAAAGTTGTTCCCTTAGGGGAAGACTTGGTACTTAAGTACAAACTCTCCTGTAAAGATGATTTTTATCTTCTGAATTATCCCTAGTTTACGTCATTGATGATATGTAATTTCCTACATATATTGCATGGTTTCAAAAGCCAATAATGGCAAATGAAAAATAGACCAATGTCTCAGAGCATATAGATACTTACTCCTTAGTTTAGTTAGTGTCAACACTGTTTAGCTCTTGGACGTTATAATTAGTTACCTTACCACTATCTAAGCTGTTACAATTAGGCCCTTGGTATAGCTCGCACAGCGCTTACCAGTAAATAGTACTTTAAAATCTAATTTTTATTATGTGGTGAGAGTAATATTCTTATTCATCTGATTGATAGAAACTTCACATGGACACTCCATCCATCCATATTATAATTTGCTTGAGTATAGAATTGCTGTTCCTATAATGAAAGCTGATTTTGAAATAGAGAAATTATATTTGGACAATATATTTGTGCAATTTTTTGTACATAAGTAGAGAAAAGAAAGAACTGCGGAGTAAGATGAATTGGAGAAATAAAGAGAAAAAAGTAGTGCTGCAAAAAAGTAATATATAAATGATACAATTCTTTAAACTACAGTTGCTACTTGATAAGAATTACTTTTGTATTTGCTTTGAGTTGTTCTAAGTGACTTCATCAGTCAACACCTTTTTACACAAAATGTGACATTACTGATGTTTGCATGCAGGGGCTGAATTTACATAATATTATAATCCTCATTGTTTGCCTAGAAATTTATAATAAGAACATAGCCGTATTCTCTAACAACTTTTTTACAGAGTCTCTTTAACTCAAGGATCCATTACATTTGACATCTCAAGAACAAGCAAGCACACAAAAGCTCACATACAAATGTTGAAAACCCAAAAGAAAAAAAAAAAAAAAAACTTTTTCCAACTTTTCTTTTGACATTCTGCACAGTTAATACATTCCTTTTCTAATGATATGGTATTAAAAAGGATAATGCTTACTTACAATCTACACTAAATAAGTAAACACAAAAAGGGTGCGTCAGAAAGCTTCAGGTAAAGGCCTGCCATCCAAGAATGACTTGAATAGCACAAGTGATCTTTCAGGTTGCGAGAAAGGGGCTTCATGGGAGGCACCTCTAACAGTAGCAAATGACAGGATATTGCCATAAACTTGAGTCCACCCGCCAACCTATGTTTCATTAACTTGGATTAGTTTCTGATGTATATATACACAATTATGTTAAAAAATGGTGTTACTTCCATGGGAAATGCTTTCTACATTGTTGTGATTCTTGTGAATGCAGATATAATATAGTTCGAAGAAGAAGAAAAAATCTACATATTACATAACGGACAAAGATTAAAACAAAGGTAAGGATATGAGATCATTCCACTTAGGGAGAAAACTAGTCACTAGTCAGTCCACCGAAGGCTTCTGGCCTCTTATAAAGCAAAACCAATACTTTCTCAACGGTTTTCTTACTAATTAAAACTTGCAAGAAGTTAAATAGATGGCAATTGACTCGGTTCTTTTTTAAATTCTCTTCTTAAAAGAACTCGTGTCAAACATAATTTTAAAGATATTTGTTTTTTTTTTTAAAACTAAGAATAGGCTAAAACACAGAACTTTCATGTAGAAACTAATTGAATCAAGAAGAAAAGAAACCAAAAGAAAAGGGCTAAAAGCTACCTTAGTAATTAGCGTACATACCTGCTGGCCTTCAAACCATACTCTATAAGGCCCTGTTGTATTCAGTCCTAATTTTCTTGCCAACTTCTGAACTAAGGTACGGCTTCCAGTCAGTGGAATCACGGAATCTTGATCTCCACTGTAGCAAGAACAACACGCATGGTTATGTTAATTAGCACAAAAAAAAAAAAATGTGTGAGCCCTCAAGTTCAAGTGATCAAATAGATGAAAAGGAGAAGTTTTAGTTAGAGTTACCTGTAAATTAAGACCCGAACTCCAGCTTTTATCAGTAATCCAACAACAGGGAGTGTAGGCACTTCCAGGTTCAGCATATCATAGTCCAGGACGCTGTTTCCAATATAATGTAGGCAGTGATTACATTACATGGTTAAATTACAATCAGCACAGACAAGTTAAGCTAATTCTGAGCCTGTTTTGATACAAGTTAAAGGTATTTTTGAGAATCTCTCTATCAAAAATAAAAAGTTATTTCTAGTAGAAAAGTTCTCAGAAGCATTTATATCGTTTTATCTTTCAATTTTCAAGACCAATTAAGTAAAGCAAAACCACAAGACTTTTTGCTTAGTATGAAGGCTTTACTTGCTGCAAACATCCCACTTGCGAACTCCAACTAGCTTAGCATGAAGTGCCTCTTGTACATCTTTCCGGTTTAAGTAATTTGTGACCTTGTCATCTACACACACGTCTATGCTTTCATTTGCTTCCTGCCATGCCATGATATAAGGCAAGAGTTTAATTGAACAAGCCTAACTTGAGAAGCACTGATCTGAAGTAAAATAGTAAATGAAAAAAGTGATGGAAATTGGAGAAGCGTGAGAAGGGAAAGCCAAGGAGAGAAGACTCACTTGGGTTTGAGGACAAATAACCTTGGATTGTGATAGCACCGAGGAAATGCAAACATCAAGGGTGACATCATATTTGTCCACAAATTTACTGGTTTCTTTGCTCACTTGGCCCATAACCTTTGAACAAAGAGGCGAAACTGAGTCCCTATAGTACTCACTCACGTACCTAGAATAGTTACACACTGTGGTGAACATGTTGTAGGTTGAATCTGATATTAGTCCATGAGACCAGAAGAACTCAGCCCTTGAATTGAAGTCAGTTGCATATTCTAGAACTGGATTACCCAACTGCAGTTAAATGCAAGAGACCATTTATTCCATAATTTCCATTTTGGCATCAGTAAATACCAAATAGTATTATGTAAGAAAGAAAGCATAAATGTTAATGTCACTCACGGCAATGCCTTTTAGATTGAATATCTTGTTCTTTGTGTTCATTTCAATCATAAGCTTTGCAAGTTGAGGAACATAATGACCTGATACATGCAACTTTTTCAATGTGTAAGAACAAATAATTGCTGTAACCTGCTTTGGAATTGGAATTCCCAAGAATGACAGGTTTACCTGCATAGCTTTCCCCACTTAGAAACAAATCTCTGCTCCTGTATTGGGGGAACTTGTTGAACCAGCGTATCAGGAATACAAGGTTGTCCCTGGCTTAAGAAATCAAAAGCACTGCTTCAGAAGACAAAATATGTAATTTATGTAAAAAACGCCTGACTATAGTATTCATTATTCAAGGACAATACAATCATACTGAAACCAAAAGCATATCATTCTTCTAATGCTTGCGTAGAGAATAAGAGAAGAAGAAGAATAATCATGTAAAGTGCCACACAAAAGTTAGCATGGCATTTAACCATTGATCACTCTTTTGTCTCAACTTTTTAAAAGCCTAAGCAGCATACAAATGATACGTGCCTTTTCCCATAGAAGATAGAATTAAAAGAAGCTTTTAAAGAGAAACGTTTTGTCCTAAAAGATTAAAGAAAAAAAGGGTATAAAGTCTAATAATATTAATGAAGAATACCTGTTGCCTCGTCATTCACTGTCATATATGAGGAGCTACCTTTAGCATAAGAGAACCCCACTCCAACTGGTGTCTCTAAATACAGCATGTTTGCCTCTGCAGCACAAAAGTAACTCAATCAGTAGAAGAATGAAATGCAGGCCATTCTGGCAGGTATAATGGAATGTGGCAAAGTAGTACCTTTATTCCAACTATAATCATTTTTAATCAGAAATTCTCCATTTGGTCTGAATGGTCCGTTCTCTGAGAATGCTCCTACTCCTAGAGAAGAACAACCAGGTCCTGAATCAAGAGCAGCAATTAGTCAAACTTAATAATCCATGATGTGAATACAACTGCTGCTATTCTCATTTAATCCGAAGTCTTAAAAGTTTTTTAATATCAAATTTTGAAGCAAGGGATTGCAGACCTCCATTGAGCCACAGAACAAGAGGCTTTGAAGCTGGATCAGTTTCTGACTCAGAAAAATAGTAAAAGAGAGACTTGTGTTTCTTGTCATCCACAGTGACATATCCCGAGAACTGTTGAAAGCCTACGTGTGGTTGTCCAGGAAGAGCAAAAATTATGTCTGCATGAGAAGGGTGAGAGAACACTTCCAAGGAAAAACTCAAGTGAAGCAAAACCACTGCCATTGCCATGGTGATGGACTTGGACTTCCATGTTGGCCACTTCATGGTTTCACAAATGGGGAGAGAAGTAACAAAGAGAAGGACTGAAAGTGCTGTATTTAAAGTGTTACCCAGTGAGAACATGAATAGCAACGTGAGAAATGGCAGCAAGACTTTTTTAACACACTTTTTAGAGTATTCTTTATTGTTGATTAAAATTTTGGATTTATAAGATGATGTAGGTCTTATTCTCTATTTAAGGAGACTTTCCTTAGCATTTGATTTAACTTTTTCTTTTGTAGTTTTCTTGTCTAAAAAAGAAAAGATTAAGGTAAATATATTTGGAAAAAAATTCTTAAGAAATTAAGTTTTATCCATAAGGGAGAGGGGAAATAATAAAAGAAAAAGCTAAATAAAGTGACTTTTAAAAATAAGTTACATATAATTATGTCCACAAACCACGTCAACCACTAAAACTAATGCACAAGTAAATGCAAACTCAACTAGTGTTTAAAGACTAATTTTATTCCTTTCGAAGATTCGAGATGTGTGTGAAAACCAAATGAGTTTAATTCAACTTAGGCTGAAAAAAAAAAACCACTCAAAAACTTTTTTTGTTTTTGCATTGAAAAGCATATTTTATTTTTCATTGAATATGATTTTAAATTAGTATCTAACATACACAAAAAATATCAAAGTGAATTTTACTTCTTTCAATAAAGTATTTATTGGACGCATCAAAAAAAAATTGAACTTCTATCATGTTTAAAAAAATCAACTATCTAACATCTTGATTGGACTTTGTCGGTTAAAAATCTTATTTTTAACCTTTAATTTGTCCAACAGACACAACCATATGATTTTTAATAAATTTAATGACTAATAAGGAGAGTATTGAAAAATAAATACAACTTTGCAGCAGTATTGGTTTAAGGTGGGCCATTAAGGTTAGGTGGCTGGAAATTTTATCTGTTCCATTCTAATTATGATTACAAATTTAGCTTTTCAATGGCAGGCCTGAAAATGGTGTTGAAAGAGATGTGACAGAGGCAATGACCACGGTGTGCCCTGTCTTTCTACACCAGTGCCAAAAAGCTAATTATGAAAAGAGTTGGAATGCTCCAAGCTGAGTCAGCGCAAGTTTTCTGCTTTGAAAAGGAAAATAGTTTTTGGAATATGGCTCTGCCTTGAATAATATATTCCTTCTCAAAAATTACAGCGTTTAGATGATCTTGTTTACATTTTGTTTCTTGTTTTTTCTCTGTCGATGTATTAACAACAAAGATATTGCATCTGTGTCCCTTTTGCACTTGGAAAAAAACAAAAAAAACTTGTATCCTTTTGACTGCATCAACAGGAATGTGTCCCTTCCATGGAAATTGGCTTTGTGGGGTTACTTTTCACTCCTTAGAAAAATGTGTATTTTTTTAAAAATCTCATTTTTCATCATAGGCTTAGAGAAATATTAGGATTCACAGCATCTTGGGTAGATGCTCTAGATATGCAGAGTGTAAAACAGAAATGCACAGCTCCTTTTTTGGTTTTTTAAAAGAAAAATGTTTTATTCATTGGTTTTTCTTGATCAGCAAGTACAAGCAAGATTTGCACATGGACAAGATAATGGAGATTCCAAGGAAAATAGAGCCATCTTACTTCTGTAATGTCCATTCAATTTTAAATATATTTGTGGCTTGTCAGAGAAGCTAGAAAATCTGAAGAATACTCAAATGCATCATCAACCATAAACAATACTCACTAAAGAGCTTGAGTGATGAAGAGGTATACTTTCCCTTTTTTTTATATTTTATTTACTGCTCGCCCTTCATGAAAAGAATATTTATTTAAGTAATGAGTGAGATCTGGGATGAGTTTTTTTCATGCCTATAATAAGTGTGTTGTTGAACAGACCCAAAACCCAAATATTTTTAAGTGGAAGTGGAAATCAGATCAGCTTAGTCCCATAAAGGCTAATCTTTTCCTTGTGGTGGTTAAAGACTTATCTTTATGTACTTATGTGGGAATGAACTTGTTCCCTTTGACCAGTTGTGAAAAGGCTTTTCTTATAATTATAAGGTAACTCTTTGATTTTTTTTTTTTTTTTTCAAAATCTTTTTGTCTTGGTGATGAAAAAGCAAATACAACCCCACCTCCATCCATCAACTATATATATTTCTTTTTTGCTTACAAACTCACATGCTAGCCTCCACGGAGCCACATGTTCCCCATTGGGGCCACAAACCTTTCCACGCTAGCTTCTAGTGGGGTCCTACTCCATTCACCATTTCAATTTTCAACCATGCAAGCTGTGTTGTATAATGCTAGTTAGCCATGTAACAGCGCAATTTATGGATGTTTATGGTTTGGCAAACATTTGGAGTGGTTTGAATCGACCCCATCTAACTAGAATTGAAGGGAGAAAGATGGTCTAGTCAGGGTATAATTACTACAAAGCCTTGGACCACTCTAACCACAAGGGTAGATAGGTTTTTATTTTATTTCCACAAGACAAGGGAGAAAAAAATGCAAGATAATGAATGCCAAAAAAAGAACAAACTATAAAATGACAAATTTGATCAAGATTTATTTGGTGGATTCTGTGCTTCTGTTGTGTTTGCAGCTCAAAGAACTGGTAAAGGAGGAGAAAATGGTCCCTACCTTTACAGCTTTTAGAAAAGATTTCAGAATTTTCATCATTACTAGCACTAGTGTCACTGATTTTGGCGTTCATCTCCTCATTGTCAAAATATTCTATTGCCTCTCAAACCAAAATTCTATTCCTAACCAACTCCAAAACAAAAAGCGAAAGGAAGAGTAGGTGCTTATAATGCTTAGGAAAATTTTAAGTGACAAGGGTATGACTGAATATTTTAACCATGTAGAAGTGGTTAGAATGACTTTTAAGCATCAGAGTTGGAAAATGTGTGGAAGAGTGCGGGTGAAGCCTATATTCTGCTTTCGAATCCTTGCAAATAGAGCAAAGGCATGCCTTTTTGGTGAGTGATCGTCGGTTTTTTTTTTATTTCGTTTTTTTCCTCAAAATTTGGGTCCTTTTCACGGTAGTCACAAAAAACACAAGTGGAGAAAAAGCTCATCAACTTTTACTATTAAAATACGCAGGCTTTCCTTCTTTTTATGATCCGGGTTGCTATGCACCAGCCACTATTGGAGTCAACAGGACCCCGCGTGAGTAGAGCACCATCAGAGGTCTGAACTATATTCTCAGAATCCATAATATATGTGGACGACTAGAGTATCCACATTTTCTGCAAACAAAAGCACGCTCCTCATGTATGGGTTATGTTATAAACTATCAATATTATTATTTATTTGTTATTATTATTACTGTCGGATAAGAGAGGTATTTTTTATTTTATTTTTGAGGATGGCTATTAAATAAGAAATCTGATACATCGCGCAATTCAATACCATCGCTACGGATATTCGATCCAGTTACACCACCATGCCATTGGAGCCAAAGTCAATTTCAATGCAGAGATAGGGTAAATCTTGTGCTTCATGTTGCGTTATACTTAAAGGATGATTTAACATCTCAAGCAACTTTATATTGAATTATTGAACTTTATATTCCATTTTTCAAAGGCAGTTTTCAATTTATATCAAGATAACGAACCGGGAAAAGTATATACCAAACTAAAAACAGAGAAAGATAATAATTGGCCGATATTCTCGTGCATTTGATTTGATAACAAACAGGCTTGATTCACAAATTACAAAATTTAATTTGAAGAATAGGGAAAATTTCAGTCTTATGTATATTATTAACTATTACAACCCACTGTCACGTGCAAAGTAAAGATTCTTGCTTTCTTTGTATTTCCCGAATATAATGTATAGATGTTTACAGAATGAAAAACTTGTGTAGAAAACAAAACAAAAATATACATATAGGACAAAGAATGAATTAACAGCTAAAGGGCTCAGAAATCAGGATGAGGCATCATCAGAGTCAGTGGCAGGCTTATGATTAACATCCGCTGACTCCTGAGGCTGATCAATTCCCTTCCGAGATGCTTCCCAAAGTTGCTGTTCTATACTCAGCTTCCTCAACTCCAACAAACCTCGCTCAACTAAATATGAAACAAAGAGCCATGGACTTCATACACAAAACACTCCAGTACATAAAAACCAATAGATATTAAACAGTTAAAACATCAAAAGCAATTTAAACATTTAAAAAAATAACACTTTTCTCTTTAAATTTTCTCGTATACATCTAAAATCAAAGCTGAGGCATTACATATAAAAATAAATACATTCAAGTGATTTTTTAATCCTATGATACTATATACTTTATGGTTTGTTTGTTTCACGAGGAGGGGGGATTTAGGAAAGACGGACAAGAGCTATATTTTTCATACCTCAGTCGTTTGGGGCAGTTGGAGAAAGGAAAGAAAGGGAGCATATATGTGGGTAACTGTGTTTTGTCTAATAATGGACGGAAGATACGAGAGGGAGGAGCTATTTTTTTATACAAAGAAAAAAATACTTTAACATCTCATTCTTTATTTAAGATATCCATGTTATTTTATGCATTTTTTTTACACAACTAAATAAGAGGAAAGAATTTTTTTTCTTTCTTTCCTAAAACAACCTAAAAATCATTTCACTTTTTTTTTTCCCTTCATTCTCTTTTCTTTCCGTTCACAGTTTCACTATTTCTTTCCTAAAACATAGTGTTGCTTAGCATTCCCCTTGATACGAAAATGGTATGTATAATTAGACAAATTTAAGGATCTTGATATCTAAATAGCTGTAACGATCACTTCTACATAGGGGTGAGCAACGGGTGGGTTTGGTCGGGTTTGGTTGAAAAATGTCTAACCCATTGTAAACCGACTTTGAAAAAATGTGACCCATATCCGACCGACTGAGCTTTTGATTTGAGGCGGTTCGGGTTGAAACGGATTCAGATTTAAGCGGGTGAGTATAATCGGGTTTGAATTTTTTTGTAAACCAATTTATCTTAAGGAAGATGAAGCTTAAAACGATAAAAAATATTTTTAAAATAGTGTATAAAAATAGAATGAAGGTGACAATAGATGGTGTAAGTAGATTCGTAGTTGAAACATTTACAAACTAAAGAAGCAAAAATAAAAGATAACAAAATTCATAGTTGTTACATGGAAAAGAAATATAAAGTTAGATTACAAAATCATAAGAAATCACAGTCACACAAAATGTACTCAAAATGGAGATAAGAAGATGGAAAAGAAAGACAAAGAAAGAAGCAAAAAGATAACTCTAAAAATGGACTAGTGTGTTGAGAAGTTGAATGAGGAAGGAGAAGACAAAATAAATATCTAAGTTATGAGAAAAAGGAAAAAAATAAGTTACAAATTGATGGCTATATTATACTTGAAATAAAGACTTTTAAGTTTGGACCATTGTTGTTTAGTTATACAAAAGTAATAAAAATTTAAACTTATCTCATTTTCGGTTGGGTTCGGTTTTTGGCGGGTTTAAAAATTCAAAACCAAACCCGCCCAATATAACTCGTATAAAATCAAAATTTTAACCCGATTTACCCATAAGACCCACCCGAACCCACCCAAAAACAATATTTTTTATCGGATTTTTCGGGTTCGGTTCGGGTGTCGGTTTAATGCTCACCCCTACTTCTACAGCTCAGAGTCAGACCCAGAGACCATCATTTGAGTAAGTTTAGATAAAACCTAACAGTGAGGTTGTTTTGGAGTTAATTTTGCATGCACGGATGCACCAATTACTTTTGAAAAGGGATAAAACAGAAGGAATTTTGAAAACCTAATAGCAAAAACTTTTTACAGGTGTATGCCTGACCTTCCAGACTGGCAGATTTGTCAAGCATGCCTAGTTTTCACAATCAAAAAGATGTATATACTACATACAAATATTATAAAGAAAATGCTCAAATTAATAATTATTAAAAATTAATAACCACGAAACTGAAATATAAAGTCCGTGAGGAGGTAGAGTAATCTATAGCTGTTAGGGTAGGAAAAACGACAGAAGATTACAAACGGGTAGAAACAAAAATTAAAAGGGCTAAACAGAATTCTTCTATTTAAATAATTGGTCAATTCTGTCTGTTGTTTTAATAGAAAAGACCAAAATGTTTTCAGCAGCCGGGATCATGCAGATCTGTCATAAACCACGCTGAAGAAAGAAGGCTTATCTCTATAACTGAATGCAGAATTGAACAATTTGTCCCGAATGGATTAAACAGATTCAATTCCACTAATTCTGAGATAATTTAGGATAATTTCTGACTCATAGCTGAGACTGAAAATCAGCTTGGTCCTGGTCACGATTTTGATTTCCCTTAAATACTAATTTGAGAACCAACATCAAAGATTTTCTATTGACCTATTATACAGAATAAATTTTTAAAATGCTGTTATGATCCATAGAGGAGGCTTCCATTGGCAACATTGTGCCAATCAGCACACAAATTTTTCACGTGGTAACATATTACTATCTTCAGAACAACAAAAGGTGATGATAAGAAAGACAAGAGCTTACCATCAACAGCATCATGTGAAGTTGGTGACTGCCCACTGCGGGCAATCCAAAACTGAAGCCGCTCTTCTGCAATATCTTCTTCCACACCATGAAATAAAGCTCTTCTCCAGTAATAAGTTAACCATGCCTGTTATATTTAGAGTTTATTAGTAAGTCATATTAAATTATGTTATACTTTAAATTCAACTTTGACAAACTGCTCATCAAAAAGCAACAGGTACTTGGGAGCCTCCATTGCAAGATTTCATCTTAAAAAGATTATGGTTAACGAGTAAAAATGCAATAAAAAGTTAAAACAATTAACTGATTTTCTTTAGGAATAAATCTGAATTGAACAGAAGGAAATTCAACAAAGAACACAAATTTCTGCCAAGATAATGATGGCTGATTTGAGAAGACATTTTAGACACATGCTATTGCTATAAACATAAGACAAATACTAGTAGAAATGTACATTCTATAACTTTCATCAGAAGGCAGATATCAGAATTTCACAGATTTAAGACCATGAATAATGCCAAATTTCAGAATCTTCAAATAAAAAGAACATACCTCTTTGAAAAGTACGTCTTCTGCTTCCTCTTCACTTAATTCTGGAGAAATCAAAGAAATAGAAAATCAATCAAGAATCATCAGCTCATCTGCCAGACAAATTTCGATTTAGAAATGAGTATGGTTAAATGCAGCCACTCTGCATCATATATTAGCATAAATACACATGAAGTCATCGGCCTCCCACATAAGCCTATTCTATAGATGGAAGTCAGTCCATAATATCAATAGAGTTTAAACAATTTAATCGAATGTCATAAATGTCACAAATAGTATTGCCAAATACGTTTTTCTATTGTCTAGGGGTATACACCCAAATATTTTATGCCTTTTAGCTAGTAGAAGGCAAGGGTGCTTTTACATTTGTCACATAGTGAAGAGGGTAAAAATGACAACATACCATGCAATTTACAATGTAAATGTGCCACTATCCTCCTATACAGATCACATGCATATTTGATCAAACCATGCCTAACCTCCCCTCCAAAAGAAGAATAATATAGAGAAATGATTGAAAAATATACAAACAATATTTTACTTGTGAAGAGAAGCAGATAACTCCTAAAATGCAAATATACAACCTTGACTCTTACAACACTGCTTAGGGATTTTGAATAACAGTTAATTTAACATTACAAAAGCACAACAAAGTAAATGCCAAAATAAAAACTGGAAACCTATTTCTTACCAAAACTTAAAATAGATAAAGATCAAATTTAACACTAAAATTAAAGCTAACAACTTAATTCTTACCAAATGCTTCCGAATATTTGACATCACCATGTGATTTGGAATCTGAAAATAAGTGAATAAAAATGAGAACATTATAATTCAAATCATCTACACTACTAAACAGCCTATTTTGGAATAGTTCCAAAATAACAATTTTGGGAAAATTACTATTAAAAAAAAAGGTGTACATGAATCAAAACTACTTAGAATTCTAATCACAAATGAGACATCCGCGCATGACAAACCATAATACTAAGACATAACCTAAAGTTAGCAAAACTGAATAAATAAAAGGAAAGACAAAACTCAATTAATATGCTAGAACTGTAGTATGTACTAACAGCAGGCAAACAGAAGTCAGGGATCAAATGAAAGAATTGAGTAACCAAATTGATTAAGTAAAAAAAACTGACATCTGAAAAAGAAACAAGATGTTAAATACCTAAAACGGACTGCCGAACAGAATTTGGTCTTCTGTGTCGGGCTAATGCGAGCACAACAGCATCCTCAACCTAAAAAACAAAAGCTTTATAAAATTAATGATAGGAACTGAAATTTACTATAGAAGAGTATGTGTGGGGGAGGCCAGCTCCTTAAAATCAGAGGTAGCCCTCTATATAGAACACAAACAGCAACACAGAAAAATGGAGAAGTTGCAGAAAGCAATTAAGAGATAGCTCCCCCCCCCCCCCTCCTTCTCTTTTTTTCCACCACCACAAATGAACAAAAAAAAAACCCTTCACCACTCAACACGAGACAGCTGCCCATGTTGTTACAGCCATTCCACTCCCTTCTAACATACTAGGCCTCTGGCATTTCCTCAGCAGTAAGCACATCTCATTTTCTTGAATTCCTTCATTGCATCTCCTTTCATACACATTTAGCCCATCACTCTTATTCAACCCATCTTTCATTTTAATAGCATAATCACGTGATATGGGTGTATCAAACATCTTTTAGAACTCAATAAGGAAAAGGATGAATATAATATAATATAATATGGAAAAATCCAAAAGATATGAAGTCAAATTTCAACCTAACTCATTATGAAAGTTTGGCTTCTTGAAATCTATGCTTTAAAAGGAAAAGTCTTTAGTATATAATTCTTTGTATCTAAAATGTCCAAGACAAGGCACTAATTTAAAATAAAAATCATGGAGAACCTTTAAGGAAGCAAGTTCCCTCAAACCCATCTCAACTGAAAGCATACTCTCAATATTTCCTTCCCCAGCAAGATCATTCAAATCACGAACAGCTCTGCTTCTATCTGAACCATCAGCACCTGGTCCATGCTGTTTAATTAGATATCAATGTAAATAATTTCAGAGATATATATTTCAAATGAATTTTGAGTACCAACTCATACTCACTTTTGTTCCAAGATTCCTCCTTGGCCTTCTGTCCAGCAGAGATGACAAGTTCAAAAGGAAGGGGAGCTAGAGAAGACCAATATTCATGCTTGGATTGCGCTATATCTGCACATATGCCTAATAGAAGTAACATGCCACAAGAATTATTAGGACTTGGGTGATTATTGTTAATAAAAAAAGCATAGAAGTTACATGCCACAAAAATTATAAGGACTTGCTATTGTTAATAGAAGAGCTGACTTTTGCAAAATACACTTCTCAAATTTTTGCAAGTTGTGATTTTTCAGATCAAAGGAAAAAAAATTAGTTACAGATTGGAAAATGTCTACTTTCCTCAAAAAGTAGAGAGCAGTAGCGATTTCATTACCATTTTTTACAGCAAGACCCCAGTAGCGGGCTAGCCAACACCTCTTCAGAACAACTTCCTCCTAAAAGACAGATAATAAGATGAATTAGGATAGATGGTAAAATGAAGATTTTCTAAATCTTATTTCAACGTTAAACACAAACCATTTCTTCCTGGGTCAAAATCATTCTCTGTGTCATTGTGCGAAGTGCCTTTGCTTCAGCTTCAGCTTCTTGCTGTTGTTCCAAAGCTGCTGCAGCATCATCTTTTAGGTTCTGAAAAATATAAAGAGAATAGCTATAACTTATACCAGAGAATAATTATCACATCATATATGGTATGGTACAATTAACAGGGGGAAATGCATGCTTTATTCAATCAAAACTACCTGAATTTCCACACGAAGGGCTGCAATATCCTCATCTCTCCCACTCTGTGTTTGTTGAGCAGCCTTGAGAGCAGCCTGTACAAAAATATTGAGTATTCCAAGGACATTCTTTGAAAGAACCAACATTGATGAGCCTCTTGCTCAAATTCCACAATTCAAGAAAACTGTAACTGGAAACAGAGCTTTACAAAATATCAAGATTATAGAACCAGCTGCATAACTGCCTCTGATTCATGCTCCTTTGCACAAGTATCCACATATGCATTTTCTCAATAATACAGAAAGTCAAAAAAACATTTTTTAGATTAATGCTTATTGCTTAGAGAGTTAGAGGTGATAGAATAGTGTGTTATCAAGCAAAAATGATCACAGAACTTCAAACTTGCAATCATCATTAATTTCATATTTCTGCCAAATTAATATCCTGTTGTTTCGGTGTACCTCTCTTTGACGCAAAGCAGCTTCTTTCCTGCAAATATATCACACAAAAATCATAAGATTAAACTAAAAAAAGAAAGTATCTGTACCAGCCACCATACAGGAGAATTTAATGCTAGTTTACCTGCTCAGCAGTTTAGCTTCCAGGGATACACCTTCTCCAAGAGAAGCAACCTGCCAAAGTCAAAATAAACAAGAATACAGATATTGGAAAACTCAGCATACTGAATGACAACTAAATAGTTACGTATAGTTAAGCAGATCTTACTGCAGCATATAGACCCAATTTAGATAAAGTTCTGCATATGCTTTAATAGGGGGAAAATAGGGAGGTAAAATGAATCATACTGGAAAGAACCTTGGGAGAACCACACCATTTAAGCTAGCCATGTAGATGGAGAGCCCAAGGCCTTATAAACACCGCACTAAAATCCTATACTTCCAATGTCAAACTCAAAGTCTCATACCTTGAAATTAGATCTAACATCCTACCACGTTTTGCAGCCCCAGCACCCATGCAGGCTTCTTGTGCAATAGCCATTTGTTTAGTTACCGGCAAACACTACTGTTGTGATTCAGGAATTCTGTGTATTGTTGTACACACACCAATCTTATTTATAGAGTGAATACAATAAATGATAGAGATACTAATCTCTTATATTATGGAAACTAATTTAATCATATCCCTAATTGATAGTGAGGATAATAACCACAATATCTGTAATATATTCACAATATCTGTAACAACTACAATGTCAATGTTGCCACCCACACAACTCATTTGCAATTGAGAGACATGTTAGACTTTGATGGTGATACCAATTGATAAGATCATTGGGAAAGCCAAACCACACAAGTTGGCCACTGTAATTGGAAAGCCCAAGGACTTATAAACCCTACACTAGAATCTGAAAGGTGCTGCAGTGACAGAAAAGAAAGAATAACAGAAAGGAAAGAGAATTTCAGAGAGGAAAAAGTAAATGCTCTATTGCTTGTCCCCTTTTTCATATATAAAAGTGCTATATAAGCACCAAATGGCTATTGCCTTGCAGTACAATGCATATGTAAAATAAAGGAATATTCAATAATCATTTTCCCCTAACAGAATTTCCCTTTTTGCGTGATGAAGGACACGTGACAATGTAATCCTTCAAATGGTGAGGCTGCTGTCGGTTTCTCTTGGGACTCTTCTCACGAGGGCTGGTATCAGTGGGTATCAGTGATGGAGGAATATTGTGTGCTGCAATTGGGCTGCTAGGTTCAATCAGTGTAATGGGCCCTGTGTTCCTTACATCTCCCCCGGGTTCAAAGAGCACCTTGTCCTCAAGGTGAAATTGTTGCTGCAGAATGCTCCAAATTTCCCAAGTTGCATCTTCAAGGGGCATGCCAAGCCAATGGACCAGAACCAGAATCTGAGGGGGAGTAGAAGAATTATCCCACTTCCAATCTAGTAACACAGCTGGCTCCAAAACTGGTTGATTTTCCTCGATTGTGTGTGGCAGAGACAGAGGAGAGGTTGGAAGGGGACCCTTATGAGGGCGTAGGAGACTGACGTGGAACACATTGTGTATTCGTGCAGTAGGAGGAAGCTCCACCTCATATGCTACCTCACCAATTCGCTGCAGAATCTTGAATGGCCCGAAAAACCTCTTCATCAATTTAATGGAATGTGTGCCAGAGACGGAGGATTGGCGACGGGGCCGTAAACGCACATACACCCAATCACCGACCTCAAAATGCACATCCTTGCGAGATTGGTCAGCCCATTTCTTCATGGAATCCTGGGCTCTTTTGAGATTAGACTCAAGCTTGCGAAGAATGTCAATGCGCGAAATAAGCTCTGATTGAACAGCAGCATTAGGAGTGTCTCCCGGAATAAGAGGTGGCAAGAGAGGGGGTTTGTAACCGTAAGCAACCTCGAAAGGAGAGAACCCCGTGGAGGAATTGACGGATGTATTAAAACTCCACTCAGCCCAAGAGAGAAATTTCCCCCAAAGTGTAGGTTTGTGGTGGACAAAGCAGCGTAGGTACTGCTGTAAAACTTTGTTGACAACCTCCGTTTGACCATCGGTTTGAGGGTGGTACGCAGTTGACATGCGTAGCTTAGTACCGCTCAAACGAAACAACTCCTGCCAAAAATGACTGAGAAAGATAGGGTCGCGATCGGATATGATGCTGTGTGGTAAACCGTGGAGCTTGCAAATTGTGTCAACAAATAGCTGGGCCACGGATACTGCTGTGAATGATTTTGGCAGCATACCAAAATGAGCACCCTTCGAATATCTGTCAACCACCACCATAATCGTTGTGAAGCCCTTGTAAGGTGGCAGGCCTACAATGAAATCAATGGACAAATCCTCCCAACAACGAGAAGGTGGAGGAATAGGTTGTAGCAGCCCTTGAGGTCTCTGTGTTGGGATTTTTGTTTGTTGACAGATGACACATTTGGCAACAAAGTCCTGAACATCTTTGCGAATGCTGTCCCAATGGAAATTGGCAGATAACTTGCTTAAAGTGCGAGAGACACCCGTATGTCCTGCAATGGGAGTGGAATGGAATTCCTGCAAAATGAGAGGAATTAAGGAACAGGAAGAAGGTAGCCAAATCTTCCCCTTGAATAAAATGAGGCCATCCCGAATGGAGAAGTGAGGAAACTCATCCGGTTGTGCAGAGATGTTATCACGGAGTGTGATGAAATCGGAGTTGGCGGCCAACGAACACTTAAGATCCTCAGAAAAATGTGAGTGGGAGATGGATAAAACCAACAGAGAAGGCTGAACTGAGTCCGGGGAGCCATCCAGACGCGAAAGGGCATCCATATTTGTTTTGACCACTTGTAGAAGAGGAATACCAAAGGATAGAGCAGAGGATTGAATAAACTACGTTATTATTGCACTGCAAGTTACAGAAAAAAAAATAAAAGAAATCATGAACCATTATGATGCAAAACACTTCTCCTATCTTTTTGCTTAATACTTCTTGCATGTCTACCCAGTCAATTGCAACAAACCTGTTCATGCATAGTGTGAGTGGCACCACTAAATGGCACTCTCTTGCTTTAAATGCATTTGAAGTTGAGTTGGATACTATCTGTTAATTTTTTTTTTTTTTTGGCTTTATGCTGCTTTGTGTTTTGAGATAAAAATTTATATTCAGTTATAATATTTTGTCTTGGCTTGCTGAAACTCTGTGCCTTAACCCTTGACATTTTCAGGTCACAATTATATTGGATCTGAGCACCTGCTTCTGGGTCTTCTTCGAGAGGGTGAGGGTGTAGCAGCACGTGTTCTGGAAAACCTGGGTGCTGATCCAACTAATATTCGCACACAGGCTAGTATTATGGCTTCATATACCTGTTATTCCCACAAACTTTTGTTTACAGGGACACATTCTCTTATAATCTTAAATTTTATGTTAATCTTTTAATTTTCACTGAATGGGTACAGGTAATTCGCATGGTGGGTGAGAGTGCTGACAGTGTTACTGCTACTGTTGGTTCAGGAAGTAGTGGCAATAAGATGCCAACTTTGGAGGAGTATGGTACCAATTTGACCAAGCTAGCGGAAGAGGTACTGAGAGGTCATGGCTTTCTTCATGAAGATTGTAGATTATGCTTTATTGTGCACAAAAGCCTAATTTCTCATCTGCTCCTCAGGGAAAATTGGATCCTGTTGTGGGAAGGCAGCAGCAAATTGAACGTGTGACTCAAATTTTAGGTCGTCGAACCAAAAATAATCCTTGTCTGATTGGAGAACCTGGTGTTGGGAAGACAGCAATTGCTGAAGGTCTTGCCCAACGGATTGCAAATGGTGATGTACCTGAAACCATAGAGGGAAAAAAGGTTAGTAGAAATCATTTTACCTCTGCTGTTCAACTCGCTGAATTTGTGTATAGTAATTCTAAAACAGTCTCGTTTGTTGATATTTGTTTATTATTATTATTATTACATTGCATGACTAAAAGGAGTTGCATGGCACCAAGGTGGTCAAACCAGTATCTGGGCTATGCTGTCTCATTTTCTGTCATATGATTGTATGATATTAATTTCATGATGGCATTTCAAGTTAGGATAGGTATTATTTAAAATATTGGTTTTGTGGGTGTTCAGTATGATTTTTACTAGTCCTAACTCTTGATCTTGAATAATGTGAATGCATTCTTTTCTCAATTAGGCATACAACAGTCTGTTTTGGACATGTTATTTCTAGGCTGTTAAGCTAATGGCAAAACAAGTGGGTAATCACACGTCTTTTAGTCATTTTTAATTGTCTTTTCAAATTTATGGCCATAAAACCAGGATGATCAAGACCAGTGCTGTTTGAAAGGATCACTTGTGGATTGAGTAGTTATTCCTTGATAAATTTGCCATTCTATTCTATTATGAACCAACTCCACAAAAAGCTAATCCTGTTAGGTGAAGGTGCATAAACAATTTCATGTCTACCCCCCTCCTCGCAAGAGCCTTTTGGGCTTGAAGGGTGAGAACATGTCACAACCACACCCCCAACAAATACAAAAAACAAACACACCCCATTAAACACTCACACCACCAACAACACTACACCTAGTTCAACACAATGCAAAAAACATAGCTCCTTGTTACTCATTACCCT